GTGAGTGAGTGAGTGAGTGAGTGAGTGAGTGAGTGAGTGAGTGAGTGAGTGAGTGGGTGGGTGAGTGAGTGAGTGAGTGAGTGAGTGAGTGAATTTTAAAATAATGACAACAGCAATGCAGCCTCATCAGAAGATAAGCTACAGCGCCTTCAATTAGTGGTGAAAAAATGGTGAAATAGTATAGGTTTAACGCCCCTATCAACACTATTAGGTTATTTAAGGGGCGGGACCTGATCCTAGTTTAACGTCCGTCTCCGATAGGACCGAGCCAAGGGGAAAGTTCGTGTAAAGTGCCTTTCCCAAGGACACAACGTCGGGTCCCTGACGGAATTTGAACCCCCGAACCCGCAATCCGAATTAGTGGATGAATCACAGATACTTTTTCTTCAGTAAGAGTTTTACGGCACTTAAAGCAAACATAATAATTTGGTCATATGAGTGTCAAATGTCTAATAATAATAATAATAATAATTATTATAATTATTATAATAATAGTAATAATAATACTAATAATAATGATGATGATGATGATGATGATGATGATGATGATGATGATGATGATTATGACTATAATAATAAAAGCTTCAGCACAAATATAACGACAACAACAACAACAACATCAACAACAACGACAACAGCACAAGAAAAACATAATAATTATTTCCGAAGTGGTCCCTTACCCTGAATCAAGTGCACATGGCCTAACTGCAGATGGAAAACAACTCTCAGAGAAGCTCCCTGCTATGGCGTCTTGTGGCGAACCCTCCACGCGCTGCGCGGACTCATCCTAAATATAGCACGAAACAGCTGATCTAAAAAACAGCTGACTGCCTGAACACTGACTGCTTTTCTACGAGACCGTTAGTACGAGAAAGAGACAGCGCGATTCAGACGAATACAACAAGGTTATAACACACACACACACACGCGCGCACGCACACACACGCACACCATACTACAGCCAGTGAGGAACCAAGCAGTGTGGAGAGAAAGATTCAAAGAACAGCGGAGGCGAAAGAGAGAAAAGGCGCAGGGAATTTGACGGATGAGTTGTCTTTCTCCTACCGCGTTTTTCTTTGTGTGAACCCCCCCCCCCCCCTCAGGATCACCACAACAACATCGCTGCTAGATCTACCGCCTTACTTCTTAGCCTCGATTCCTGGTTTTTCAACTCGTGCGCTACATTCGTGCAGCGGAGAGAGCAGGTAGGTGATCATCCGTGAATATAGTATAACTTTGTCCTCCTCTTTTCACAGCAGTAGCAGCTGTAGTCTTACTTTGGAAGGGGGGCTAAATTATGGCGCGAAATAGCTCTAAATCCTTCACTGCCAGATTTCCTGTGTGATCATTTTTTATTATTATTCGCCGGTCTCAGGTAGGCCTTTTCTGTGGCCGTGTAGCGCAAGGGTTAACGGGTTTTTTTTTAGCGCGACACATTTCTTATTCTAGAGCTTCTCTGCTGCGAATCTCGAGAGGGAGAGAGGGAATGGTTGCAGAAGAGGAGGAAGAAGAAGACGCATTGTCGAGAAAGGAGGGAGGACTCCTTTCTCCATAGTTGCAGTGGCGATCTGTTAGAGCCTCGATTTTATTAGAAATTCATTGACTGATTCCGATGCCGACGCATCATAAAAACCTTGCGATTATTTCGATGCGTAATCAGTGCTGTGCACATTCCGTTCTCTATCTTCCCTCTTATCACCCGTCATTGATAAGTAGGCCCTATTTGCTGTCCAGCCCATATTATGATATTATTACATCTGCAGGCAGTATGCAATGTTCACCTTCCCGAATTCAAGTTTGATTTTCTCTGAAAGGTCAGGCAAGGGCTACAAGGATAAAGGTTATCACTTTCTGTGTCAATCTCCGATATGCCGCCGTAGTGCTATATCTTTGTTTATACATCAGGTCTTTACCGGTGTCAGCACGGTGGTGCGGCCGGCTCAGCACTTTGCCGTCGCACACAGATGATGTTAGTTCGATTCTTGTGTGGGATGGTTTCGTTGGTTCTTTAAAAAAATTATTTAACGAGAAGACGAAGGCTATGTAACGCAGGAGTTTTGAAAGTATGGCGCTGAAAGTAATACATCTGAGGAAGAGAGAAATTTTAGGGGAGGTGAGACGATACAGTGATGGCCGTGCTGTCGGATCTTGTAGGGTTCCTCTTGTCCTTCTTTGGCTTAGTGGAGAGGGAGAGAGAGAGGAAGAGAGAGAGAGAGAGAGAGAGAGAGAGAGAGAGAGAGAGAGAGAGAGGGAGGGATAGACAGACACACAGAAAGAGGGATTAAGAGGCAGGGGTAGAGGAGAGACGTGAGCGAGAAAAATGTAAGAGAATATTTAAGAAAGGGAGTGGGAGAAAGTAGTTGTGTAGAGTAGA